TATCATGGACATTTGCATCAGTAACACCTAGATTGGTACAATTTTAAGAACTGTCAAGATTATTTAAATTCCCAGTAATTTCATTTAAATTTTTATTAGAAGACTCTCCCTACTCTACTTTTAAAGAATTTATCAAGAGATCCCTTTTGTGATTCTATTAACTCATCTCTTTGTTTTCTTTTTTTTTTCTTTTTTCACAACCAGAAAAATGTTTTTTTAGGCGACATTATATAACAATACAACTAATGTAGAAAAGAACAATAGAACCTGTAAATGGGAAGATCCTCGATCGAAGTATTTATATATCAAATTCACAATACCGTAATGACTGAACTTAAAAGGAAGATGAAGAATATTCATATCCACGTTTGATATTTCATATCCAAAATTTATAAAAAAAAAAGAAAATAAATTTATCCAGAATTTAGAAATATAAAAATAAAAGAATTTGGAAACATGAACTTACTTTGATTTTAAAAAAATCTTCAATGACCACAATTGATGATAAGTAATTGTGATTTTGTGTTTGTGTCTGTGAATCATGAGAAATTGAAAATTGAGAACAATAATTTTCAAATGAGTTTTCAAATATGAAAGAAAAAAAGAAATAAATTAATTTTACTTCAATTTTCTCCTCTCATTTATAGGGAATAAAAAATAACCGTTGATACATATTATGATTTGATGTTAGTAAGATTTTTTTTTTTGAATTTTGATAACAAATAACAATTTTTTAACGTTATTTTTCATATTTAATTAACAATTACGAACAATTAAAATTAATGCATTAATGTAACCCAAAAAAAGAAAATAGTGCATTAATATTTGTGGGCCCTGTGTTGCAATACTTTTAATTTAATTTTACTCTTAATAACAATATAATAAGAATGGATAGTGCATTAATAGAATCGGTGAATTAATTAATAGTTTATAAAAGTATGGTAAATTAATATAAATTAGAATTATGGGCCCTGGGTGGGTGCCCCTTTTGCCTCGGCCCAGGACCAACCCTGGTTTGAATTTTACCCATACTTTAAATGAATCTAGTTTTTTTATCTAAATTCATTTTGTGATCCAAATATTTCTATATGAACCCTCCCAAATTTTAGATGAATTTTTGAACTTAGACGAATAGCTCAATCATTGAATAAATATATTGAAGATCATTCACAAAAAAATCAGAATTTTTGGAGATCAATAACACCTTTGAACAAAGCAATCCTGAAAAACAGACTGTTTGAGGACCCACCGTTCAAAAGAGTCTACTGAATACTACTGAAGGTATTTGGTTCTGAATTTTACAGGTGGTTTCTACACACATCGAACGATATTCAAGAAGTTTTCCAAAATTTTTGAACACTGATAACCCCCTCAAAAACGTTTCTCAAGTTGACCCAGCATTTTCTAGGTTTCTAGTTTGGTTTTTTCTTTCTTTCTTTTACTCTTAATGCTTTAAGTTCTTTTGTTTTCCTTTTTATTGTTCTTTTGCATTATCTAACACATTATCTTTCTTGTATTATCAGGACTAAAGAGTTTGCACATTTATTTCTTCTTTGCATTCTCGTTCTCTGGAGGCTAAACCTTGTTTGGCCTCTTAGAGCTTTTTTTGTTATCACATTTGCTAGTAATCAAACTCCGATACGAACTGTGGAAGACTACTTGGTAAAGTGAGTTTTAAAGAGTACAAGATCGACTTACTTGCCTCTCGCTGTGTTACTTTCTTGGAGTGACTTGTGAGGTTTCTTGCTTTGTTGAATTTTCTTTCTTTTATATTTATTTTACATTAAAATTTTCTTTGATGTTTATGATTTCAGGATGGCGACAATAACAACGAGACACTTATGGCTACCTTAGCCATACTTGAATGACTCACAACTTAATTTGAAACAAGATTTGATCAACTTAACAATACCATGAGAGAACGACAAGAACCATAACTGGATCTACCAACCAGAATCCAAGACCAAACAATGTTGAACTTTTGGGACCCAGACGAGCAGACCACGTTTCCAAGCACCCAAAATCTTTGCAAAACCAAAGTTCACGATCCCGTCTTTCAAAGGAGACAACGATCCGAACAAGTACATCGATTGAGAAGGAAAAGTTGATCTCATGTTCGCATACCCTGACTGTCCCCAAGCTAAACAAGTTCCCCTCATCACCATGGAATTCGAAGGATATGCTCACACTTGGTGGATGCAAACAAGGAAAAAGATCGAAACTTACAAATTCAAGCAATCACTTCTTGGACCGACCTCAAACAAACCATGAGGAACCGATTCCTACTGACACATTATACACGAGAAGTTAAACTACGACTACATCGACTTCGACAAATTAAAAGTTAAGTTGAAGACTACTACAAGGAGATGCAGTCCTTATTCAATAGGGCTAACATAATCGAAGAAGAAGAAGACACCGTGTCAAGATTCATCGTCGGCTTAAACTCAAACATCACTGATCTTCTTTACCTCCATGGGTACGAAAACTTTGAATATACACTAAAGAAGGTATAACAATCGAAGAAAAATCCAAATTGTTTTCGAAGGGGATGCTCGAGCGGTTCTTCAGAAAATGGAGATTGAGGAACCAGATCGATCAGAAATAAGTGTGATTACTTGAGAGGCTCGCCATCATGCCAAATTGTTTGAAGACAGTCGGTTCGTCTTCATTCCTCGCTTAGGTAACCAGACGGCTCACGTATTAGCGACTGATTCAGCTCTGGGTCAAGTGGATAAATATGGGTTGAGGATGGTCCACAACAGGTTTTACAACATTGACAGTGGAAAATCGTTGGGTAAATCCTCCCTGAACTCTGATCTCGATACGAGGGTGGTGTTACAAGGCTCGCGTTTCTTCTTTTTACTTCTTGTCCTCTCGACTGTTGTGCGCTCATTGTTTCTATGCTGAGAATTGAGAGGACAGATGGCCAGGGCTTTAGTTTGGTGTTTGTTCATTTATTTCCTTTTTGTTGTACAACTGTTTAGCATTTTTCTTTTTCAGACGTTTAGTTTGAGACTTGTTTAGTTTTTCCTTTATTATTTAATAATTTGTGTGGGTCTTTTTATCAAAAAAAAATCATTGAATATGAATTTTTGTCATTTGCAGTTTTTACTACATTTGTAAGAGATTATGAGAATATTTTTTTATCAAACCGTGTTCATTAAGATTTTAAATGAAAAAAAAAATTGGGAATTAAAATTGATAAGATATATATATATATATATTTGGTAACAAAGGGAGCTTTTTAACAGCAGTTATACCTTCTCCTCCAATTGTTGATATCCATTTGGAGAAGACTGCGACCTCAGAAGGGAGCTGTTTAACAGCAGTTAGACCTTCTCCTCCAATTGTTGATATCCATTTGTAGAAGACTGCGAACCGCAGCGGGTGGATGGTCTAACACAGCAATGCTTGGAGGAGCCTTCTGGCCTAGGTGCGCCAGAGCGTCAGCCACACAATTGGTCTTCCGATAAGAATAGGAAACTCTGATGCTTCACTGCCGTTGAAGGAATACGGATCCGGCGTATAAGGTATGGCTCGGACGCCAGAACAGGAGAAGAAAGAATCTTGACAGCTTCGTTATTATCCATCTCGACCATTGTTGAATTGAAGGAGGATACGGATCCGGCGTATAAGGGCTGGCTCGGACACCAGAGCTGGAGCAGGATAAGATACATTTTATTGGCAAAAAGAAAGAGGCACGAAGAAGAAGAACACTGAAGGAGGAGGAATGTTGAATTGGAATGGAAACAAATAATGAGTTGGCAAAAAATTTAATGAAATGTAAACTAATTATTATTTGGCATATTATTACTAGTTAAGGACCATTGTTGATATGGTGGGAAACGTTATCCAATAATTTCTCCATTAATTGGGTAGTCCTAGACCAATTGTAGAAGAAGAGAAATGAATGTCACTGTTCATATGATACTAAGTCAGCCTATGTATGATTCCATTCTGTATTGCCAGTTGCGACTACCCCACCATCATGCCTGAAGACATGAACCATAACATGGCTTTATGATACATCAAAGGTCATCGAATATAGATCTGAATGAGAGAATTGCTGAACTGTGATCCTAAGTGGCTGGCCAATGATCCGCACACCGCACTTGGTCTTGCACAAGGTAACACCACTTTTGGTCCTAATTCCCACACTCTTCCTGTGCTTGCCATGTGGCAGAAAGAGGTTATCCACCATCCCTTGAATAAATTCGAGTTTCATATTGATCGATTCAGTAGCAACACAAGCAACAGTTTGATTAGGTGAGCAGCCCCAATATTCATTTCTTTGTACTCCTGTCTCCAAGGTTGCCTCATGGTACAAGAAGCTTGCAGATGGAGATACTGATGGTTTTGAGCCTGGTCCAGGAACGTCATGCATACAAGGAAACGGTGATGGTGATGATGGAGATTATGACTATGCTCCGGCTGCTTGATGAATGAGTAATTAGCTATTCATTATGCGAAGCAATGATCAAAACCCTTATACATGGGGGAATTTATCCCAAAAAAGTTTTAGTAATTTCCCCAAGTATAATGTCATCTATGTACTTTAGCAACCATGGACAAATGCTAATCATGTATTATATGTCATCTATATATCTTTAGGCAAGATGTTTTATTGGATCCTTTCCATTTTCCTGCAGGTTTCTATACCAGGCAAGCCTGGTATATACATATTACACATTTTTTTTTGATAAAATATATATTACACATTCGTTTAACCGTTAATGGGTCGATTATTTTGGATAATAAACATTTAAATGCTCCACTTGTATTACCGATGGAGATTTGAATCAAGTAAACCCGAAAGCCTTATAGTTGATGCATAAATGATTATGTTAGTGATTGTGGTGGCTTTGCTTTCCAAAAACGCATGTCACTTTCCGACAAGACACATAAAAACAAATATAATCAATGTTCAATCTTTTCTCCAAATAAACATTGAAGTCAGAGAAAGAGGGAAACCAATTCGAACAAAACACACACTCGCTTTTATTTTATTTCCTTTTTATCCTCCATCTTCATATTTAGCCTGGATTTTATTTTCAAAACAATATATAGCACATGATCCACTGCTACATGGAATATCTAAACCCTAACCCTAAAGCCGTCTTTAGAATTTAAGGACATCTCACTTGTATTGCATTCTTCACCTTCTTCTCTGATCTCCACCGCTCTCACCTTTCCAGCTGCTGCTCTCCGACTTTCCGTCTTCAATGCTGTCGGACCGGTCCCCAGCTTCCCTGATGTCAGGCTCCAGTGAGCTACGTGCCCTTGATGCGGCATTGTACATGTTGTGGAATTGGTGGTGGAGGGTGTGGTAGTGCTGGTGGTGCAGCTGGGTTGGAGGTAGAGCTGGGGTTGCACTTGCACCTACAGCTGCACCAGCAGAGTAAAACTCTTGGGGCATAGGTGATGCACAGAAATGAGCTGGGTGGTGAGCTCCATACAGGGAGGTGCCACCTCTATGAGCGGCTGTGGAAAACTCTTGGGGGACCCAGATGCCACCTAAGACTACAAGTTGGGGTGCTGGGGCTCCTACTGCTTGTGGACTTGGGCTAGGTCTCCTTGTGTGCAGCCTATATTTCTGCCAAATAAAAAGGTTAAGAAAATCATTATGAGCAGTAAAAGATTTGCACCGACATTTTTAATAACATCAGCGGGTACCGTGTCAGGTTTTTTTTACAAAAACTCCTTCTTGCATGACACAGTACTGGAGAAAGAGATACCTGCAGATGGCTTTTCACTTCATCATTGGTCAAACCATCAACCTTCATTAACTCCCTGATCTGTTTTGGTGTGGCAACTGTAACCATAATCATCAAAACCAAAGATTTTGAAAATGAACCACAAATCAAACAAAGGCAATTATATATATATATATATATATATATAATTATTGATACCTTGAGAGCCACCAAGCATCTGAAGAGCATTGACAAATCTCCTATGCAAGTCAGGCGACCAGCAGCGTCTAGCCTTTCTATGAGGTTGATTATTGTTAGTATTTGTTGTTTGCCCATCAGCTGTGTTGTTACCGGTTCCATTGTGATGCTCAATCACAGCTCCAACTTTGTCTCTCCGTTGACAGGCTACCCCATTTTCAATCTCCGAATTGCATTTCCTATCTTCCATATTTTTATTGAGAGAAGCAAGTGCTAAATCAGGGAGAGACTCTGAACATTTCCGGTTTTTGGAGGAGAATGGAAGGAAAGCTCCTCCAATTCTCTGCTTGGTATCTAATCCCAAATTGGGACCAACATTCAAACCAATATCAGTAACCGATGATTCTGGTTTCGTCTGGTTTCCTTCTTGGCTCCATAGTTGTGCGGTTGTCATCCAGTTTGCTTTATGATCAGACGTGTTTTGGGACTTGTCCGAGGTTAAGTTCTTGAGCGGCATGAATTTTTCAAGAACTGGTCTTGATCCTTGATTCCTGCTGTATGCCTGTAGTTGCTGCCTTGAAGCCTCCAAAGCTGGACATAATATACCAGTGAAAAGCTTATAAACCCTAATGCAAATATAATATGCTTGATAGGTACGTACCATTGGTGAGAAGTTGCATACAAAGGGGAAGCTCGCGCTTAAAAGCATCGATCTTAAGTCGTTCTTCCTCGAGACAAGAAAGGAAATCTTCAAGATTCAGTTTACGATCAATCTGCTGATCGAGACTGTGGGGTTTGCAGTCAAGGGTTAGTTCAGAAGGAGTTGATGCCATGTATGCGTAAAAAAACAAGAAACTTATGATATCTGTTTTGTTTTGTCAAAAAGGGTTGGTGTCATGACTCATGCCATAAGAACAGCAACAAATAAGGATGTTTCTTATCTGCATGCAAAAAACAAAACCAACAAATAGAAAGAAAGGGAAGGTCTGTTGTTTGTGAACACGATGAGGATTCAATTTTTGAAGGGGAGAATCGTCTCTTTTAAGGGTGAGTTGATATGGAGAATAAAGTAGGGTTTCTAGAGAAGAAAAAGTTAAAGCTAAATTAAGAGCAGTGTGTTAAAGCAGAGGGATGGTAACTCCTTGCAAAGAACAAAGGCAATTAAAAGCTAAAAGAAGCTTAGAGATAGAAGGGAAAAGAAGCTTAGAGATAGAAGGGAAAAGAAGCTTAGAGATAGAAGGGAATCAACATTCAGCAACAGCAGAAAGGGTCATGTGCTTAGTCCCTATACGAAATTCAAAATCACCAGTATAGAATATTATTCTTATCACTGTTATAACTTTTTTTCCTTTATTTTTTCCTTTTCATTATTGTTCCTTTTGATTGTTTAGGAAGATTTATATTATCGTTTAATACCTCTCCTAATTTAATAGATAATCAAACATAATTAATATAAAAATTATTCACCGACGATGAATTAAATATTTCACAAAAGGAATTTAGGGTTACCATGTGTCACATGTACCAGTGCAATACAACTTACTTTATATACGGTTCCAAACGCTGCAAAATGTCCTAAAACTGAGTGCGAGGAACTCAGAAGATATACGCTAGTTTTATTAAAAATAGAAAATATTTAAAATTACAATGAGGATTTACGAATAACTTAAATTAAATTATAATTAGGACATTTTCATATAACTATTAACACAAAAATTAGTCACTTAGATCGCACAAGAACTATAAAAGAAAAAGGTTAAAAAACATAATCAATGCTCGAATAAAATAAAGATATGAACAAATCTAACTGCATCGGCAAACGAACCACAAAAGGAGATGAATCTACTGAAAGATCGCCTACAAATCACAAATTAGGGTCAAGCGACGTGAGAAAACGATCCACGAGCGCAAAATTTGTATCCTCCAAAGCAGGAACGATCAACAGGATAACAAATAAGTACTATCTTGATCAGTCGTGGCGATATCAAATCCAACTCTGTGAAAAAAAAAAGATAAACGGAAAAAAGGGCAAAAAACGTAAGTTATCAAAAGGCATAGAAAAATGTGCCACAAAGACAGAGATAAATGTGTTATAAAGACAGAGAATATGTCACAAAATATTATTATTCTTATTAAAAACACTAAAAAGAAATAAAAAAAGATAACCATCAGGCGACAACTAACATCAAAACTGGTGTCACCGTCGGTTAAACAAAATAAAAAAAATTAGATTGATCAATAAAATTGACAGAAACCGTAAAGAAGAAAAAAAGGGGAGAGAATTAAGCAAATATCCTAATTATATAGAAAAGAATATAATATATATTTGACTCTAAGGAAGGGATCTCTTATATGAGTTCCAAATTCCAATTCCGCGACTCTAAATTAAATTAAGGGAAAAGGCTTAATGGCAGAAAACCCATGGGAATCTTCTTTTATTACTACTAACTTTAATGAGTTGGTTAGGAAGGTAACAAGATTCCCTCCCCTACACAACAACATTTTCCGTTGCAACCTAGGGTTATATGTTAGGCACTTTTTTAATTTATGTAAAAATATTTAAGTTGAATGATTCACATGATGAACTCAAGATATATGATTCCACAGGTGGTGATGAATAATTCACATTATATGAGCTAAGTTATGATTCCTCAGCTGGCAATGAATAATTCATGTGATGACTTATCCATAATCTTGAAAAGAGATTAAGTTATTTTTTATTTTTTAGACTTGGATAATTTTATTTAAGAGTGAGTATCCGGTTGAATAGAGTAAAAAATTTTGAGTTGGTGAAATTAACAAGTCATATTTTTCAATCCTAATTCGATTTAATTTTTTAATAAATTTGAGTTTAATAAAATTTAAACAAACCAAATCGAATATATTGTTTAAATTACTTTTTATATATATTTTTAACTTAAACAGGTGAATCGTAAAGATAATTATGCATGTTTTATACACTGTTAATACTTGTAGGTGTGAATACATGATTAGGGTTTGATAAATAATTTAATTTAATTTACCTTAATTTTGTTGCCCTTTGATTTAAAGATGTAATTAATATGCATAGCTTTTTTTTTTGTCCATTTGCATGAAAAGTAAAAGGGCAAAGGACGTGTGTATTAGAGACTGCATCGTATTCCCTTAATTATGAGCTTAAACGACAGGAATGGGAATGAAAATGAGAATGGGTTGGTCTCTCTTTCTAAAATATACAACAAAGGTCTCTTCTCCTACAAGACTCCAGTTTATGCCTTTTCTCTGCAGATTCACATCTCTCTTTATCCAGAGATGAAACAAGGAATTATATTTAAGTATATTTTCTTTTTACACATTAATTATTAGTTTTCTTTATACTACTGTAATTATTATTGTAAGATTTTAAGGATAATAAATTTAATATAATAATCTTTGATTTAAAAATGAAGTTATATGTAGTTTAGCCCTTATAACTTGTTAAAATAAAATTATCCACTCCTTTTAAGAGTTTGAAATCATTACGTGAAAGAAAACATGTTTTGGGAGGCACGAACGAGGGTTTTGGTCGAATGGTTGTGTTAACCTTGGTCTACGTAGTTCTTAGCTTTTTCATTCTTGATAACTAAAAAATAAAAAAAAGGAAACACTTGGATTTGTGTAGTCTCTTATTTTTGTTCAATATTTATTTAGTATATATATAATAATATAATGTAGTTTTTGAAAATAGTTTTTGAAAACCTATAATATATAGTTTTTAGAAAACGTTTTTTGAAAGCATATAATATATAGTTTTTAAAAAATTAATTTTTGAAAATATATAATAAGGTTTTGAAACTATTTTTTGACAATATATATTATATAGTTTTGAAAACACATTTTTTAAATGTATAATATACATAGTTTTAAAAATGATTTTTGAAAACGTATATAATATAGTTTTCAAAACGTATTTTAAAAACATATATATAGTTTTTTAAAACGGTTCTTTTTTTGGAAACATATATAATATATAATTTTTGAAAACATATTATTTTTTAAAATATAGTATTATATAGTTTTTATTATTATATTTATTATATATTATTATTTATTTATTATATATTTATTGTATTTATCTATTTAACCATTTCAGGTCCAAATCAAAGGCAGAATCCAAGTCCAACAGTTCAACCGGGTCCAACAGTCCAAGGGGCCCAGTATGGAGCCCAACCGGGTAGGTAGGCCTGACCCAGCCAACCGACCCGGTGAGCCCAACAGAACTAGGGTTTTGTGTTTAACCAAGGGTGCCACACTACCAAGCGCGTGAGGACAACACGCCGACGCCAAACCAAAGCCAAACAACAAAATCAGAGTAAATCGCGGTGCTTATCAACGGGGAAAACATCCCTTATTTTTCCAACAACAACGTACCGAGAAGATCGACCATGAGCGCATACAAATAAATCCCAACAAAACTGGGATTTTAACAACCGGATTCAAGGGGTTTCCTCCCTTTTCCGAGCGCTATAAAAGCCTCCGGTGAGGCACAACGAAGGGACATCAATGACAACAGAGCAATCAAGCCAACAAAGCAAACAAGGCAAGCAAAGCAAAGCATTCGAAATAACAAAAAAAATCTTAATATATATATATATATATATCAAGTATTCGGCTTCGGAATATCACTGAGGGAAGCACGGTAGGGGGAAGCCAAAGGTCATCGGGAAAGCGAAGAGTCTCGCCGGAAAGATAAGAACCCAAACGTTTCTTTGTAGATCTACGTCGATTTGGTACTTGTACCTTGTTGTACAATCAAGCTACGAAATGGTGTATAGGAGGTCGGGAGGAGTATTTTTTAGGTAGATTGTTTTTTTCGACCGCCGCGGTGGTAATAGGTGTCGTTTTGCTATCAAAATAATTATGGCTTCTTAATAAGTAAAAAGAGAGAGTAGTATAGAGAAGCAGGGTCGATCCACAGAGACTCTGGTGTTTCTGATTTAGTGGACTTTTTGATTTAGAAGAAGATAGAATTTCATATAAAGATAAAAAAAGAATAAAATAAATAATTAAATATAAATTGTTTTAAACTGAAGATAATGATAAAATAATAAATAATAAATAATAATTATAAGATAATGATAAAGATTTTTTAATTGTTTAAAGAAATATAATGAGATAAAAAAATTAAATAAACAAATAAAATAAATAAATAAATTGAGATAAAGAAGACTTATGGTAAGAACAACCTCAGACTTCAACTTTGCCTTAAATTCCTCGGATCATCGAAATAGATCTTTACTTCAAGATTCACGTCGGCTACTGTCTACAATGACAAATCCTTGTGACTATGCTTTGTATACTGAATATCCAAGTACACTATTTAATTTCGGTTTGTGAGTTGATCCAAGCAACAACAATATTGTAGATCTTAAAATGTTGAAGTTCGAAAAGCTACCGACTCGGATTATGTTGTTTCAACAATAACTGATTCCGATCTCAATTTCCTCTTAGCAAACAATTTTGCTAAGTGTGTTCACAGGAAGTCTAATGTACTTCAATAAGTCGATCCTTCCTCCCACGTTAACCATAACAACATCCAGACCAACACCGACTTTTGATTTTAAAAATCGTTTTGATTTGAAATTAAGCCCAGAAAACAAAGAGAAAAATCTGAAGCAATTTAAGCGCCTTACAATTCTCACATCTGGAATTGAGCCTTCTCTTTAGCCTTCGGCTTAAAAGAAAATTAGCTAAGCATGACCAAATTTATATTTAGCATATTTGAAAACAAAACTTTAAAATAAAATAAAAAAAATAGAAAACTTGAAAGGAAATAAAAGAGAAAATTTTATAAAGCTAGAGAGAAGAAGAAGAGTGAATTCTCAGTTGTTGAGAGATATATTTCTAGGCTTACCCTGAGAGGTTATTTATAGCCTTCAAAATCCTAAAAACAAGGTAAAGATAATCCTAAAATAAATAAAATAAATCCTAATTAAAATACTTAAAACTATTTAAACAAAAATACCTAAAACAAAGATAAGATAAAAATATAATATTTAAAATAATATCCTAAAACATGAGTTTAATTCAAATTCGAATTGCAGAAACTTGTGGCTGCTCCATTCGTTCTTCTAGAATGTAACCCCCTCAGACCGATGCGGGTAGCCCGATCCGATTCGGGAAGTCACATTAGGGCCACCGGAGCGACCCACCGTAAAAATAGCAGAAATTTTAAAACTTTTTATCAGAACATGTAAACTTATAAAATCATTTATCACTATTTAAAAATAAAACATATTTCCAAACTCGTATATAAATCAAAATACAATTACATGCCCCCTAATCACAAGTACCATACTCTGCAACCACGCCGGAAGAACTCCCTTACTGAAGTCGATAGATACACTGGTACAATTGTTTTAACCTGAAAAGGTGAGTAATAGAGTGAGCTTTGGAAAGCTCAGTAATACAGAACTACCAGATGATGCTACATGACATGTAGATAAATGGAAAGCCATATAATTTCCTTATTGAATCATACGTATACCAGCTTGCAGAATAATTTGGGGTTCCCTTAGAAGTTCATCGAGTAGAAGCCATGAATCTCAGTTCATAAGAAACCTTTCAAAGTATGACATTTTCAGGAGATCGAATAGGATGTCTAGTGTGTTCCAACAGTATAATAAAATCATAATAGGTACAAATCATAGTCCAGTAAATCTCACAATTTCGTAAAAGAGTTTAACTTTTGAAAATCATAGTTTAAACCCTTTTCTGGTACACCATCAGTAGTTCCCAAAATTATTTTCCATATAGCTTACTTTATGCACATAGAAAAAAGAAAGCCGACTTAAGGATAGGCTATGAAGCTTGTATCCTTAAGCCCAAGTCAATAAGTCCATATAGCTTACCCTAAGCACACAGCAAAGGAAAGCCGACCTAATGAAACATCTTGGGGCCCTCAAGAGTCACATTAGGCCCATTTAGCTTGATCAGAGCTATTCCATCGTAATTCAATTCCAAAATTCAATTGCACCGTGACATAAATTCCATAAATCCAAAAACATGGTAATCATATACCATTTCAAAACAAAAATTAGATAGCAGCCATATACCATAAATTGTCACATTAAATTGGTGCATCCATAAAACAATAACCAATGAATTCGGTGTACCGCATATTAAAACCAATAAAACAGTTCAGTAATAAGTAGGGAACACACTAGAGAATCCAAGTATTTTCAGAGGCCATTGTAGTTATCATTTTGGATAACATGAAACTTATGAAATTTGATCGAATTCCAGGAATAAGGTCCTATTGAGGAGAATCGATTACTAACCGATCTAGCCAGACATTTAAGGTTGATACATTAGAATCCCACTATATTTTCGTGTGCATTAGGAAAACGTTCAGGAACCTTTATACATAATAATTCTAAATTCATATTACTGCAAGTGATTCCATTACCCAAACATCAGGGGTATTCAGGAATATACTTTGAATTCATAGGATTTCAGCCCAATTGAACCAAATGAGATATTCAGAATCTTTTCCTTCTGCGTTACTTGTTTTTTTTTTCCAAACATGACCGAAGTGATTTTAGATGAAATATAGAATCGAAGATTCAAGTCATTTACAATCTACGACTATCGATCATATTATCAAACAACTCGAGTTACACAACTCTCAAACTGATGCATGTCAACAAGTCAATTCATTATCCTTCCAGTGTATTCACTCTTTAATACCATAATGCAGATCCATAGATCATCCCCATAATCATCACTGAATAAATCTTCCAACGATCTTTATTTCATTTCCATGTTTCAACAATGTCAGGAAATACTGACGTACTTGATCCATGGCTCATAACCCATAATGACAATTCATCATGTAAGTTCAACAGTGTTTCCAAACTCCTCAAATCACCTATTTACTCCTCAGTCATTGAGGTTACTTAGTTCATTTAGTAAGCAAGTCTATCTCGGTTACTTTAGAGTTTTCCAGAATAATTCAGACATTTTTGAATTTCAAATACATGTTGTACTTCCTTTCAGTTCAATTTAGTCATATAATAAAGTCATTCTGGTATTCGTGGTTGATTTGTCTCACGAATACCCACTTATTAGTACTGTATGCGCTCAAGAGTTTAGCTGAGCCAAGTACTTCCAGAATTATCATCCCTCCAAATTTGAGAAGACGAACAAACATTCAAGTGGTAACTATATCATTCAGGTAATGATATAGCACTAGCGTTGGTTGATCACTTAAGTTGCATTCCATAATTTTTACTAGTAGCACAACATCCATGTTTATTTGGATTTCTTAATTAATCCAAGACATTTACTTATTATAGGTCATAAGGGTATTTTGGTCATTTTGGTGCTCAGTTTTATTCCATTTATTTCAGAGCTCAAGGGTATTCAATCATTCTTGAGCTTGGTGAAATTCTTGGTCATTTGCATACTAGAGGTATTTTGGTCATTTCCATACTAGGGGTATTTTGGTCATTTCACAGATCCATTGTATTACAATCATTTCCTTCTATCCGATCTTATTATTAAATTTAAACTTATCATTTACTTCAATCCTTTCAAACAATTCTCACAAAAGAGCATCATTGATAAATCATTCTTCAGGTATTTACTTATAACTCCGATATTTTCGGGTCAAGTGTCTTCTCAGATTTTACAAACGGAATATCATGAATTTTTCTGCACAAAGACAAGATCTTAACAATTAAATTCGTACTTAATCGAGTTAAGTACAAATCCTCAAAGTATTTTCTCCTTCAGGGTCAACTCGGATTATTTTACCTCTCAAGGCATTTTTGTAATTTCTTAACCAGATAATTTCGATATTAGCTCTTAACGAAATAATTATAATTTAAAGATCCTATGGTCAATTGCTTTCCCGAAAATTCTCTGATCTTTAAATTATTCCTTAACAAACTTCTAGCATATTGCGCAAACCCTTTTTGGTGTTAAAACCAGTTATCCAAATTTTCTAAACAAAATCATTATTTCTTATGCACATCTATAATTATATCGGATCAATATATCTTTCATAGTTATTAACCAACTTCCAGGGATAATTCTTGTTATCCTACAACATAAGGGTATTTTCGTAATTTTTCACTACGGAGTATTCTCATAATTTCATCATCCAAGTACCTTTATAGAGATAAATTATAATTCACATAGTCAGGACTAATTCCTTTATCACTCAATCACAGAACTTGTAATTCAAGAGAGTCTTAACTAATTTATCACTTAAATTGTATTCGGT